GGGCTCCGGCGGCGCAGGATCTGGAGGCACGGGGCTGCCCGAAGCCGGTAGTGCTGGGGCAGCCCGGCTCTTAAACAGAGCCGAAGAGTCGGGGAGGAGCAGAGCCGCCATTTTCCCGGACATGTTCGGCTTTTTGGCAATTCCCCCCCGGACGGAGGTTTGACTGCTGAAAAGCCGGACATGTCCGGGAAAGAGGACATATGGTAACCTTAATTCTACATCTTTCTGAATCTCCCACCATTGGTGTAGTGCTAGTGTAGGCCAGCTGCTAGTGGAGTGCCCAGCTAGGACACTCTGATTAAAAATGGGGATGGCTGGTCATGCTACCAGTGGAGCTGTAACAGTGGGAAGACGTTCAGAACAAGGTCAGTTTGGATACAGCCCCACTGTTTTGCAATGCAAAAGAAGCCTATTAAGGGTCACTGAACAGCCACTTTCTATCGCAGGGACTTGTGTGGTGCTGACTTTCCATTGGTAGTTGTCGCTTGGTGCTTTAAAGGGTGCTTCAGTGAGACTAAGTGACTAACAAATCAAAGCTGCATAACTGGGGTGATCATTAACCCTGCCTGCAGGGTCATCTTCTGATATTTTTACTAATGCTCTTGACTTTGGATCCTCTTACCACTTTTCCCTAAAATAGCCGAATGGACTGTCTATGATAAGTTGTTTAAAATGCCTTTTAAAACTATTTGGTATGGGTGCAGTAACCTCCTACTCCTTTTCCACATTGGAATTCATCTAGACACTACTTGCATAGCATTTGCACAGGTTTGGGTGGCTAGGAACCTACTGAAAACCTACACTACTTCTGTACTCATCTGGCAGATCAAACAGCCTTGGATGGGGTTAATCCCTAAACCCCTTGTTAGTTTAACTTCCCAGACACAATGTTAAAGCTTTTTAATAGCATGTGGTCTCTCTCTTAGTGACTGGGTATCACACTTCCCAGGCATATTTTTCTGAACTGTCAGGGACTGCTTGTGTCCTGCACTCTTGCCCCCTGCAGACAACACGAGTTAGAAGCTGCCAAACAGTTGCAAGATGAAGCTGTCAGTCGGGCAGATGTTCTTGGCTTGCAGCTCCAAGAAGCTACCAAACGGTTGGAGGACTCCAGCAAACAGGTAGGGCAGTGACTTGGTGTCCTGCACACCAGAAAGCTATGCTTGATACGCCTCTGCTAGCAAATAGGAAACTATGCTTTGTTGGAATGAACAGCCACACTGCAAAACTGTGACTTGCAGAGGAAGTAAAAGCAGAGGAGGTGGCGTCAACAGCTTGCTGATGAAAGAGGCAACTTTGCATATTTGTGGTGGCTTAAAAAAAACAAAACTCAGAAATAGCTCCCATACACAGTCCACCCAAATGTAAAAATGCAGAAGTTCAGTAGGGGCTTATCACTTCCTGAGAGAACAGATGCATTTCGGTTTCATTTGCATGAACAGCAAAGACCTTTTTGTGTCAGTCAGGGCTGTAAACTTTTCTGTGCTCAGGTTAAGGATCGAGATGGGGCACTTCATTCTGCCTGGAAAGAAGTCAGATCTTTGCGAAGTGTGTTAGAGGAAGCCATTTCTGAGCGGAGAACCCTTCAGGCTATGAATACGGCTTTAATGAGCTCTTGCCAGACACTTCAGGAAAAAGATAAAGAGCAGAAAAGTAAGTACTTCTGTAGTATTCACTTATAGCACTGGCAAGTGTTCTGCTGCCGTTAGATAATGGAAGAATCAAATGAGGTCACGCTAGATGGTGACCTTTGTGTTACTTTACTCTGTGGAAGTTCTGTTTCTTTCAAGAATGCTCCAGTCATTCCTCCTTGTGTGATGATCCAGACACGACTTGAGCTCAGCAAGGTCCAGACCTGTTGGCCTTTCAAAGAGAAACTTCCCACCAAAATTGCAGGGTGCTGCAAGACATGGTGACTCAGTAGGTGGCGCTTTGAGCCCTCTGAGTCAGGACTAAGTGTTAAGGAGCAGTATAGCTGAAGATGCTGTTCTTGTGCCTAAGCAACCACCTTCGTATTGGGAGTGAACCCTCTTGCCCTGCTACTTCTGCTTCCTATGCTGTAGACTCTGTCCAAGCTGCCCATCCTGCTTTCTGTAGGGGATAGCTCTGCAGTCTGAAACAACTGTTTCACCTAGAGGCTGCCACATTTTTTGTTCCTTTTAAAATCTAAATGAAGCTCTTTCCTAAACTTATGAGACTTCCTACATTTACCTGGTATTCACGCTTCTTAATGGCAATAACCCAGAAAGCTTTGATATGTCAAGTCTGTCTATTCCCGTAGATTCAATGGAGCGCTGGTGACTTGCACCAGCTGAGGCTCTGACTCCAGGTACATATGATCCATGGGGGGAATGTACTCTAAAGAAAAATCTTGAGGCAGGGAAACATTGTAAATTATTTAGTAGTTTTGAAACCAGAGCACATGCTGGGAAGATTATGCTGAGCTGAGGCAGAGGCATGCTCCTAAGCACTTGGCTGAAACTGGTCCCTTAAGAATATTACGCCCCGGTATCGCAGAAACTTCCCCAAGATGGCTTTACAGGTTGCAGGTATGTTCATTCGTATTCAAGTGAGCGTTTTACCTGAGGAAGCATGTGTGCGCGCACACTGCATTTGCGCATTCATCCTTTAGTTATGTTGTTAGCTGCATGGAAGAGGTGTAGAAATGGAAATTGGTATGTTTGTTTCCTTGGTAGGCTCTGGCAAGAGTGTAACTCCTAAGAACAAAACACACACCAAAAAAACACCCCTGTTTTTAAAATGGGATCTCCCCAGCCAATGTAAATGAAGCCAGTAGAGCTACACTCACTTCCCATTTGAGGAGTCTCCCAAATTTTAAGACAGTCTCTTGTTGAACAGGGAACTCTCTAAAGACCGTTCTTAACAATGGTATGGATATAGAATTGATGATTAAAAACAGTACCACTTCACATGTACTCCCTTTGTGTGGTCAGTCACGGCTGCTTTCTTCCCTAAGGCCACTTCGACACCTCCACTCACATTGCGGAGTAAACTACTCCACAAGTAGTCCTCTGCTAGCAATGCTACCAATACAGTACTGAAATCAATGGAATTTGCTGAGGAAGGTACTACTTGCTCTGAGAAAGGATGGCAGAATTGACCCTATGTTTAGAGTCTCTGGTACCTTAACATAACATTAATTGCTAGTGCTGATAGAGCTAATATGGCTACTGAGAGATGGATTCTAATCTGTGGAAGAAGGAGATGCAATTAACCAAGTTTTCATTGCCAAAGTATTATTGCAATGATGTACAAAGCAAAATACAGTTAATTTCTATGTGTATTGCACTAGTGTTCAGGGCTGCAGGGGGTGGGGCTATTGCACTAGGCGCTGTACAGACAGTGAACAAAAGGACTATCCTTGCTCTTCAGAGCACTTTCTGGCCTCAGTCTGCAATGCTGGAAACTAAAATAAAACCAGCAAAATGCTATGTCATGGGGGGCGGGGGGTGGAGGCGGAGGAATCTCAAATATCATCTGGAATCACAGGTCCAAACCTGGCAGCCTGTGACCCCATGTTTAGAGCCATTATTCAGAGTGCTATTGCATTCTAAAAGCAGTGACACTCTGATACAAAACACATCCCTTTCTGTATTTAAAAAAGGATAAGAAAATTAGAAGAATGCCTAGGACATTTTCAGTGTCTCCCCCGCAGTGGAATATGGTCTCTCGTATGCATCTGTTTTAAAATCGTAAGAATACATGAAAATTGCAGGTACAAATAGCTGACGGTGAAAATTTAACTTCATTCATAATGGGCAAAAACAAGGTTAAAAGGAACCATAAGAGCATCTAAAATGGTTCTTTATAATTTAACATGCAGTGATTATGTAAATGTCTCTTCATAGCCACTGTTAAACCACTGAGAGAGAAACTGTTTAAGGGACAACTTTGTGGATTGCTGTGTCAGGTATGAAATCCATTATCTCACGTGGTGGTGGAGGAGAGCATTTCATGGCACAGAGGACACCAGGGTGAATGTCCATCTACAATTTGTCTGAAGTCCAATCTGAGGGCCATTTTTGTAACAACTGAGCTACTTTTTACACAAATTAATCTCTAGGGAAAAAACATACTGGCTGAAGCGAACTGTGCAGGCTGATTAGCATGTATCCCTCAGATTCCCCTCCCCAAGTGCCCTGGGTCAGACATTGTCCCTGCATGGTTCAGTACGGAGCATGTTGTTCGGCACTCCTGGGCAACAACTGGTGGCGGTCATGTGCTTAAATGTTACCTTCATATCTTCCCTGTTTAAAATCTGAGTTTGTTTGATTGCCACACACTAAACAATGTGCATCTTCGCTGTTCTGAAGGCCATTTTAAAAAACAGGAGGGGATGCAGGCAAATGGGAGCACTGAATGTGTGGCTGGTAAAAGGAAAAGGATAATAGAAAAGGGTTTATATTGCAGCAGCAACACTTCATCTTTACAATTTCCATTCAACTTAGTCTGAGGGAAATTTAATAACGTGCCTTCGTTTGTGGCAACTCTGTGGCAGCTGGGCAGCAAAGAACATCAGTGTTCCCTATTGCCATTGCAGGAAGGTAAATGCACTACTTTATGTAACAAAGCTGGGCAAGGACAAGTTTTTCTGTTTTGTAGGGAAATCCTGAGTTCAAAATCCCTTCCATCAGTTCTGGAACTGAAAAAAACCTTTCTAATTTTCCTGCAAAATAGAATCCCTTAAATTGAGTCAATTTGAAACATTCCATTTTGACTTTCACTTAACATTTTAATAAAAAATCAAAATATTTCATTATGAAAATGCTTCATGTTCACTTTTTTTGGTAAACCGAAATTGGTCAAAATCAATACATCCAGGAGACCCTTTCAACAAATAGGCATTTTCCAATGGAAAATTCCCAACTAGCCCTATTACTATAACCTTATTTATTCAGGTATTAAAGATCAGGCTTTATTTTGACAAAGTTGTGTTCCCTCCAAAGACTTAGAGTAAAGCATTTATCTTTTTTTAAGGCCCCAATCCTACAAACACATCCACATGTGCATAAGCTTACGCACATAGGTAACTGAGTCAAGTTAGAGACAGGTTTCAGAGTAGCAGCCGTGTTAGTCTGTATCCTCAAAAAGAACAGGAGTACTTGTGGCACCTTAGAGACTAACAAATTTATTAGAGCATAAGCTTTCGTGGACTACAGCCCACTTCTTCGGATGCATGTAGAGTGGAATAAATATTGAGGAGATATATATACATACATACAGAGAGCATAAACAGGTGGGAGTTGTCTTACCAACTCTGAGAAGCCAATTGAGTCAGAGACAGC